ATTCCACCACGTCTACTTTCATTCCTAGGGTTCAGCCGTTCTCTCTTGCGGACACTTATTTGCGGACCCATCCCAAAAAAGGAGAAAAGACAAAGAGACTCTCACAGAGGCATTTCATCAAACAGATAGAGGAGGCTCAATTTGGCATATTTCGATATTCACTGCTAGCATCATGCGCACATTTGTTACCTATAGGACTGGCTCTTCTTGGCTTCCGAAGGGACACAATTTATTTTCTTTGCTTCCGATGGGACTCCTTCCACCATCACCTCTTCCGGTGGAGTTTGCCTCTGGAGGGACATTTGTTGTTTTCGTTGCCTCCGATGGGGAGGAGGACAGTCCGATTGTTTTCTATGCTTCCGAAGGGGAGTGACTTATTCCGACGGGACAGAGGGACTTTTTCCGATGGGACTTTTTTTCCTCAGGGAGGGACTTTCCGATGGGACTCTTTTCCTTTTTCAGGATTTACACTTCCGATGGGACAAAGGTCCTCACGAGGCGAACTAGAGTGTTAGAGGCTGACTTATAAGGAGTTCACTCACAGCCCAGTGGATCGATGTGGGACAAGCTTACTCACAGCCCAGTTGGTGGAATGGTTGCATGTAAGCCAACCCAGCTGCAGAAATCAACGGAATCAGAAACCAAGTGTTTTTTTTTTTCTCCTTTTGCTGTCAAAATCAGAAACAGAGTTTCGTTTATATCAAGAATGCATAAAAGAAGAACCAAATACAGAAGGCACTTCAAAAATTAAGCTTCACTGTGAGTGTGGGATAATGGATGAGTGAAAAGGTCAAAACAATTTTGGAAGTGTGAATAAAAGAAAGAAACCATATCACGGAGAAAAATAAAAACCCTTCATTGTCTTGGTGTTGGAAAAATTGTAGTGGATAATGATCGGTTCATAATTGTATATTATTTCTTACCCTTCTAGCTTATGATTTGGTTATGTTTTTGAGTTAAACTTGTGCTTTTAATCCTTTTTGTAGATGTCATTACAGGGAAAAAAAAAAGACAAAGCTTCATAGAGTTGGAAAAAGTTGTGTGGACTATTTTTTTCAAAAGTCATCAAATGAATGTGCTCATTAATTTTTTGACTCACACATTTTGGTCTTTGTCATCGCATTTTGTCAAAATTTTCGTAAAAATTTGTCGTGTGGCAACACATGACACAACCTATCGATCCATGACACAAAGTAAACGAAGCTATATATTGGAGAAAGACCAAAACCGATTTGTTCAAGGTGTTCAATTCCTTGATGTCGTAATGTTAAATGTCCAAAATCCTACTGTAATAGACCAAAACTACTGCCCACACAACATCAACTGCCCTGCTCAGGTAATAAAATTTGATTAGCTCTTCTCCGGATAGTGAAGCTGGAATTCATGCTCTTTCCAATAATCAAGATTAATGTAGAAAGAGAATGTGGAAACACAACGAATTTACATTGTTTTAAAAACTAGTATTCTTCAAAATTATCATCTGGTTAGTTTAGTCCCTAATTCCCGAACCAAATGGGACCACCCATCATGTTTGTTTGGACATCAATGACATGATTGGGACTATAAAGAAACAAAGGAATCTCATATTATTCTTTGGATATAGTTATTTCAAATCCATTTTGAATATACGTGATCATCTAGTTAGTTCATATACATTTAATCTAATTGGGTTCTTGTTTTTGTAGTAAATTGTTGTTAAATCCAAATCTTTTCTTTCATATCAATCAATCCAAATGGAGCCTAATTAATACTGTACACAGTCTACATATTGCTGGAAAATAACAGTAAATAAGAAGGATGATTTGGCAGCATTAAAAGAAATAGACCATTATCTCAATTTTTATTGAACAAAAATGAGAGACCACTTCCAATTTCTCAAAAAAGTGATTGTGTGATGAGAGGCCAAGCTAGGCAGCACGCTGTGGTGTGATGGCTCTTGACCCGTGAGGTTTTAGTAATCGTACCTAACACCCCAATCTAATACCAAGTTGAGGTTTGCTACCCACCCATTGAGGATGGGCGGCCCTACTAACCCGAGGGTAGGGGGCGTGCTTTGTGCGACTTCACCGAGGTGAACAGTGCAAGACCACCACACCTCACCTAACAAGGCTTGCTCAAATAACCAATCACTTTAATGCCCTGCTTAGTTACAAGCCCACGCTACTAGGCTCGGCAATTACAAATGTCATATAAGTCCTTATAAGCATTCGTATTATTGCGTATTTTTTCAATGTGGGACTTTAAAATAAGCCTATGCCAGCATCAGGACACCCCAGTAGAGATTTCAAAATGCTCGTTAGCATATATCTATCTACTACCTATACAATACTGAAATTACAATTATCCTGCGCGTTACTCCACCGAGGAATGAGTAGCCATGAAGGGATTTAAGTACAGGAAGTGTGTCCCACTTGGGATGAATTGATTCATTAACAAGTCAACGGCAAAAGTAATCATATCCCAACTAATATTTTAATTAAATTATTATCGGTTCATATGATTCATTGATTCATCCATATTACTTATATATACAGTAAAACACAAAAGAGTAGCTTCCAAATTAGTGCCGGCGCAGCTTTCTTAATACATATATGCTTTCCATATGTATATACATCCATATATACCATAACTACACCACCTCTCTCTGTGTATATAATATCATATACAGACATCCCTTATACTTATATATAGATTCATATGCACACATCATACATATACAGAACTATTGGACAAACCCCCATGCTTTTATTGGACACGTACGTAAAGACCATATTTTTTTATGGTCTCCATGAATTGAATAGAGATATGAAATAATTGCTAAGCTCTGGCCTTAAATTCGAGACCTCCACGGAATGTGAACAAAAATTATAGGGCTATATTATCCCTAGCCAAAAGGTACATCAAAATCGAACTAAACATTACTAGAAATTCGATTACAAAGGATTAGATACACTGAGGTTGTCAAGTTGTCATTACAGCATTTCCAGCAGTCAAACCCTTGTCATGGCAAGGGGGGGGCTAGGGCTGACACTATTCACATGAATAGTGGCTGCCCTTGCCATATTAAGCTATGTGTGTTTTCAGCAGTCAAACCCTTGCCATGGCAACTACTATTCATTTTTTTTGTTTTTTTCACAACTTTTTTTACTTAAATAATTATTTTTGATAATATTTTCGGGTAAGGTTTTTGGGTTCCTACGTGCACTGCCGGATCCAGAAATTTTTAGCGGAGGTGCAATATTGACTAAGTATGAAAAATGGTTTTTCGGAATAATCATTTTCTCAAGATAATTTTTGGCGGCTTTTGTTCCTTACACATCAAATAAGAAAACTTGATTTTATGGGATTTTATTATGAAGTATATATTGACTTAATGAGCCATCATTTTTAGCCTAAATCATATTTTGCACTAAAACCGATTTTTCATATTTTGATTTGGTGGGAATTTGATTTTCTAGTATTTGTATTTGAATCCAAATGGGGGGTACTTCCTTATTTACATTGTAAACTTAATTAAATGGAGTAATATAAAAATAAATAAAAGTAAAAGGACAAAGACATTTACTTAAATGTTGAAAATGAAAATAAGGTAATAAAGTAATATAAAAATAAATAAAAGTAAAAGGACAAAGACATTTACTTAAATGTTGAAAATGAACTTAAGTAAATGAAGTAATATAAAAATAAATAAAAGTAAAAGGACAAAGACATTTACTTAAATGTTGAAAATGAACTTAAGTAAATGAAGTAATATAAAAATAAATAAAAGTAAAAGGACAAAGACATTTACTTAAATGTTGAAAATGAACTTAAGTAAATGAAGTAATATAAAAATAAATAAAAGTAAAAGGACAAAGACATTTACTTAAATGTTGAAAATGAACTTAAGTAAATGAAGTAATATAAAAATAAATAAAAGTAAAAGGACAAAGACATTTACTTAAATGTTGAAAATGAACTTAAGTAAATGAAGTAATATAAAAATAAATAAAAGTAAAAGGACAAAGACATTTACTTAAATGTTGAAAATGAACTTAAGTAAATGAAGTAATATAAAAATAAATAAAAGTAAAAGGACAAAGACATTTACTTAAATGTTGAAAATGAAAATAAGGTAATATATGATTAGTCTCTTCCCGGACCAAACTTTGATTTTGTTTCTTAGCAAACCCCATATATCTTTCCATAGAATCAATCTTCTTGGTTGCTACTTGTATCTTAGATTCGAGTGAAGCAATGAGCATAGTCAATTTGTCCTGCGAAAAATCATCTATTCGATCGTCCCATGTCGGGTACTCCTCAGAAATCTTCTTCCCTAAATTTTGAAACTTTGTCGGGTATTCCTCCTCAAAAATCTTCTTCCCTAAATTTTGAAACTTTTCGTCATCGTAATCTTTCTTGTCCTCATAAAAATCGGACATATTAAAGTTTCTCTTCAATCCGGGCGCAGACATATCCTTAGAATCCTTGTACTTGTTGAGAATGCGTTTGAATTGAGTTGGATCTCGCGGCCACGTCTCCGGTTGAACTGCCCTTCCCTTCTTTTGATCGGCTTCGTAGACGATCAAGCAAACATCGATATCACAAAGCTTTGAAAGCTCGTCGGCCTTTTTATATATACTCTTCTTTCGCTTCTGAAAGGTCATCTTCCGAGTGCCCTCATTAGGTATGAGTTCTAAGCTTCTTCTTTGAGGGGCCACCATGTCTTCTATAATTCCACAAAACTTAGAGAGACAAAAATTTTGATGTTTAGATTAGAAGAACCCAAGAAAATAATAGCAGAGATCTAATTGAATCTAGAAACTCTGAACAACTAGAAGCTTTGTTGCAAAACTTTTGTTTGGAAAAACAGAAAAAATAAAAAGAAAACTGGGGCAAAAAAAAATAACTGGATTGTTCAAGGTGAAGGTCGGGGTTGTGATTGAGTTTTATAGAGAAGGAAGGAGGAGGCGGTTAAGGAAACTCAATTCAAATGGGAATTTTTTCTGGTTTTTTATTTAATTTTTAATATTTATAGAAAGTTAGTTTCCATATTTCATGAGGAAAACCCAAAATATAATTCTTGATTAACACGTTGTCTATATTCTACAGTTTCCTATTTCTACTCCACCACGTCTGCTTCCTTCCCTCTTGCGGACATTTGCGGACACTTATTTGCGGACCCATCCCAAACAAACCAGAGAGACCCATCCTCGCACAGGTCATATCATCTCTCTCTCTCTCTCTCTCTTATAAATTGGTAACCCAATAACTCCCATCCTCGCACAGGTCATATCATCTCTCTCTCTCTCTCTCTCTCTCTTATAAATTGGTAACCCAATAACTCCATTGAAAGCTTGTCACGCAAGCCCACTAATTGCAGCCATCGAGGGGAGAAAGGTGTATGGCAAAATTCTAGCACTACGATTTTTTGGATCCTTCCTTGCATTCCATAAAACCTATATAGCTGAAATTATGAATTCCTCAAACAACCAAAATCAATAGTCTAATACTCATGCAACTTAACTAAGAGAGGCATATCGTGGTTTATTTCTTAACTAAAAGAATTGCACCAAAATCAATAGCCCAAATTCAAACAAACTTGAATGGAGACTTTTAAAATTTTCAACCAAGTGAAACTCTTATTCAATTGCATACAAATCGAAATCCTCTCTTGGCTTTGAAATTCAGTTGTTTTTCAGCCAACAGACTAAAGAAAAGAAGAAAAGACAAAGAGACTCTCACAGAGGCATTTCATCAAACAGATAGTAGAGGCTCAATTTGGCATATTTCACTATCGATATTCACTGCTTAGCATGCGCACATTTGTTACCGGACTGGTTTACCTTCAACTTGGCTTCCTAAGGGACACAATTTATTTTCTTTGCTTCCGATGGGACTCTTCCACACCATCTCCTCTTCCGGGTCGAGTTTGCCTCTGAAGGGAAATTTGTTGTTTTCTTTGCCTCCGATGGGGGGACAGGGACAATCCGATTGTTTTCTTTGCTTCCGAAGGGGAGGGACTTTATTCCTACGGGGCAGAGGGACTTATTCCGATGGGATTTTTCCTCGGTGAGTGACTTTCCGATGGGACTCTTTTCCTTTTTCAGGATTTACACTTCCGATGGGACAAAGGGATTTTTCCTCACGAGGCGAACTAGTGTGTTAGAGGCTGACTTATAAGGAGCTTACTCACAGCCCAGTGGATCGATGAGGGACAAGCTTACTCACAGCCCAGTTGGTGGAATGGTTGCATGTAAGCCAACCCAGCTGCAGAAATCAATGGAATCAGAAACCAAGTTGTTTTTTTTGCTGTCAAAATCAGAAACAGAGTTTCGTTTATATAAAGAATGCATAAATACAGAAGGCACTTCAAAAATTAAGCTTCACTGTGAGTGTTGGATAATGGATGAGTGAAAAGGTCAAACAATTTTGGAAGTGTGAATAAAAGAAAGATATCATATCGCGGAGAAAAATAAAAACCCTTCATTGCCTTGGTGTTGGAAAAATTGTAGTGGATGCAAAAACTCTCAAACAATTTTGAATGTTAATAAAAAGGCGAAGATGTCATTACAGGGAAAAAAAAGACAAAGCTTCACAGTGTAGGAAAAAGTTTTGTGGACTGTTTTTTTCAAAAGTCTTCAAATGAATGTGCTCATTAATTTTTTGACTAACACATTTTGGTCTCTGTCATCGTTTTTTGTCAAAATTTTCGTCAAATTTGTCTCCTGACAACATATGACACTAGGGCTCGTCAATGGGCCGGGCCGGATTTTTTTAGAAAATTCAAAGCCCAAGCCCGATTCATAGGCCGGACTTGAGAAAACCTATCGGGCCGAACCGGGCTAAGCCCAACGGGCCAGGCCAAAACAGGCATACTTCAATCAAAAAAATCATAAACTTAATCATAAGGGCATTTTAGTCCAAATTTGAGATTAAACTCACTTAATTCCAATATTTTCACATCAAACCAAATTCATAAAACACCCAATAAAGTCACACAACTTAATAAGATTTTCCACAAAAATAATAAAACCAAGTATTATTTTTGAGGTTATCACATAATTAGACCATAATATATTTTAAGAAATAATTTTAAAAAATAATAAGTATCAAAAAAATATTTTTTTTAAAGGATGGTATGAATAAATATGCAAATGTTTGGTGATGTGTTCAAGAAAAGCATGATTATATTTGGTGGTACGATTATGTTTCGTGATATGATTATATTTGGTGATATGATATGTTGTTCATCTTATATATATATATATAATTGTTGTATTAATAATCACAAATTAATGTGCTAATCATCCAATTATAAACTATGAATGAGTAAAGAAAAGTAAATAAAATGAAACAATCCTAAACTCTTATTTATACATAATTATATATGTATACGGGCCAAACGGGTCGGGCTTTTGTGGACGAGTTGGGCCGGGCTTTCTTGGGCTTAATCGGGTTGGGTCTATGGGCTTGGCTGGGTTTCAAACATCCAAGCCCAAGCCCAACCCAGCCCAAGGCAGGCCGGGCCATCTCAAAGTCCATAACAGGCCGGGCCAGGCTTTTTTTTTATGGGCCGGGCGGGCCCCCATCGACCCATGAGCCCGCGGGCCAAATGATGAGGCCTATATGACACAACTTATCAATCTATGACACAAAGTAAACAAAGCTATATATGGGAGAAAGAAAATAACTTCAAAATGAGAATGTTTCAAAAATTCAGAGGCCACTTGTGATAGAGTGAAAGAAAGCTCCATTGCATTAGTGTTGGAAAAATTTCTATGGACAAGACAAGACCAAAGCATTCAAAGAACTATGAAAAGCGGGTATAAAAAGGAAGAATTCTTATCGGAGAAAGAAAAGCTTCAACACTACGTTAGTGCTGGAAAAAATTTAGTGGATGAATAAAAGTTGATAACAATTCTCCAAGTGGTTTGACAATTTTAGTGGATGAAGAAAAATTCAACACGGGCTACAGATGAATCTGTATGCTTGTCATCTTCATACTCCTTGAGACTGATTTCTGATCATGCCCTGCAAAGATGGAAACAAATTTGAAATTAGCTTAGTATTAATTTGAAATTACCACATTTGTATACCGCATTCCCGTACCAACTTATGTGGCAGATGAGGTGGACAGCCACATCAATTAAAATTATTTAATATTTTCTTTTCTTTTATGATTTATTAACACTTTTTACAAAAATTATTAATTGAACTTTCTTTATTAAAATACATTTCATTGATTTAATTGATGTGGATATGATATAGACATACCACATCATGTCGTATAGAAATGTGGGATAAAAATGTGGTAAGTGTAGCATTACTCATTATTTAAATATAGAAAACATTACCACAATACAGTTGGTTCATTTAATTTCTTGTAAGTTGTTTCATTTATACTAGTCTCTTCATATGCGCTTCCATGCGTGTGAGGTCTTTTTTAATCACACGTGACTTAAATATTTCTTATATATATTAAAAACCTCGCACGCACGGAAGCGCATATGAAGAGACTAGTATAAATGAAAGAACTTACAAGAAATTAAATGAGCCAACTGTATTGTGGTAATGTTGCACCAAGAGTATTGAGATAATTGAAAGTGAAACACAGAAATGGAGATTTACTTATTATTTATTTGAAGAAATATAAAACTCATCTAAAAAGTACAAGGAAGAGGCTTTTTGTGACCTTAGGGGGGATTATTAGTGTGGCATAGTGTACCTGCACAATGGAGCAAGAAAAGAGCCACGCCAGAGAGAGAACGAACGAACGAACCTGTGAGTGACTCTTTACTTATTCTCTCAGCATAGAATTGTGTAGATGCTTGTTTTCTTTGCTTCTGAACGGACACGTTTGTTTTCTTTGCTTTTCGAAGGGACCTTTTTCCAATGGGACCTCCAGGTCGAGTTTCATGGCTTTCAGAGACATTGCTTTCTTAAGGATCCTTTATATGTATTACACGTGAAGAACATGTAACATACATATACATACAATTTTATTGAGGGATATTGTTTGAGCAAAATTTTGCACGGGGAATATTCGCAAGTTGATTCCTCGATCTTTGATATTCCTTCTCTCTCTTCTTCCTCGATCTCTGTGAAATATGTAAGTAAATATACCACACCCAGGGGATGTTGGCCGAAGGCCCTCCGATGCCTAAGTTAGTTCGATTGGACCTTAAAAAAGATACAACAATAGCTAAAGTGGTCGGAGTTTTCTCTCACGGGGAGAGTTGGGTGGCTAGAGCTGTGTAAAGGAGAGAGAGAGGGTGTGGCAAAGAGACAGATAGAGGGAGAATTTCAGCAGCAATTAGCTAGGTTTTTCGAGTTACCTTGAATGTCTTGTGTAGCCATGTATTTATAAGCTCCTTGTATGTTAGGGTTTTGGGAGAATAATACTTATTTGGTTAGGATTATTCTTACCCAAAAAGATGATAGGAATTAATCTAAGAGATTTGGTGGAAATTTGTTTCTTGATTTAGGGAGATATTCCTCGATTAAATCAAAGATATTTTTCCTAATTAAATAGGATTTAATTAGGGTAATTAGTTGACCTAAGGAATATTCCTTTTCCACATGTTGTCTTCTTATTGGCCAGCGAAATATGTGCTCCCACAAATGCCCCCCCTCCCCCAACTTTTGCATGGTGCTTATGAGGCATGGAAAAGATAAGAAATATTTATTGGGCTTTCCAACTGCATATGGGCTTTCTTCTGTG